TGGTCAGCTAACAGTCAATTACACGGTTTCCATCCATTTGGACTCCAAGTGTATATTTTTGAAAGGTTGAAGACTTTAGATGGTACAAATTGAAAGTTATGGTAAAATTTGCAAAAAATAAAAAATGTTAGGGATTATTACTGCAATTTTCCCATAACAATATGACGAATTAGGGTTAATTATTTCAATGACTTTAACGTTTTCTCAAATAATCACTTAGCTTGACAAGTCGCTATTGTGTTAAAATTCTAAGTAGCCACTATATGTTGTTTCCCATTCCTTACTTATTTGCAAAATTAACGATTTCAACGAAGTTGTAAATAGAATCATTAATTTTCAAACGGAATAAAATAACGAATGAGAAACATCAATAAAATATAATACAGTGGCTATTGAGAATTTTAACCCAAACTTGTCAAGTCAATGACGTGGTAAACATAATCGTTAATTTTTCAAGCATTGTGCAGTGAATCTTTGGAAACAAAGTTTAGGCCATATTTGAGCTAAATTATTGTAGAATGAGAATGAAAAATATAATCGTTATTGAAGTCCATATAAAGGAAAGAAAATTTGAATTTAAATATTGATGTGATGAATAACGATCATATATTTCATTTTAATGAAATAATAATGTAAATCAAACCGGAGCTTAATATATAGTGATTATTCAATAATAAAAATAAAAATTGGTAACTATTAGGACACATAGTCACATACCATAAAATTTGATAATTTTTACCCTTTATTCTCCCCTTAGTCACTTTGTCTACTTGCATATTAACATTTAGTTCCCGTTTGGTGTACGTTTTTGGAAAAAGAATGCATTTTTACTGTTGATGTGATATGAAATATGTGGTTGAAAAAGAAAGAAACGTTATTGATATGATAAAAAATATTATTTTATGGAAGAATGTGTGGTTAAAAATGAGTAGAAGAAAGAGAATGAAAAAATAATGTGGGTCAAACGGAGCCTAACTTTGATGTTGATGTGGTAACAATCACTCTACGGGTACAGTGAATTTTTTTACATAAATTGTACTGAATACACAGAATACGTGGGTCTCATTATTTTTAATAATATTTAATTCATGTGGGCCTTGACTCCTCATGTGAGAGAAATTCAAAAATTTGAAAAGTTTCTGTTAATTTCTTCCTCTACTTGCATCATTTTTCATGTGGTAAACAACTCACTAGCGTTGCACATATATGACATCATTTTCAACTGTCATCAAGAATCCGATGAAGCATTTGTTGAGCGCCATTGTTTTCCTCATCCTTACCAAAACTACAAAAACTTCATTGTTTTTAAATTGAGAATTTAATTAAAAGTTGACGACGTCTACTCTACTGATATAGTTGTTGACTTAATAGTTGACTAATTAAAAATTTGATTATGTGTAAAATTAGAATGATTTGTTAAAATATGATTGGATGGTCAGCCAAGAGGACAAAAATTTGAAACATCAGATCAGATCTTGACTCTCATCGAAGAATCCCTTCAATTACAATTAAATCTTTCAATATATGTACAAAATAAATTCGTGTTTGAGTGACGTTAAAATTTTTATTTTCATTATTTTACTCATTTTTAACCATACATTTTTTAATAAAATAATATTTTCCATCACAACAATAACTACTCTTTATTTTTCAACCATACATTCTCCATCAATCTACTATTCTAAAATGTATTTTTTATAAATAACGTGGCTCAAAAGGTACCAAATTTCAGCTCCTGTTTGACACACATTCTTTCAAAATTCATTTTTAACCACACATTTTTCAATAAAATAATATATTCCATTACATCAATAGCGTTTCCTTACTTTTTAACGACATATTTCACATCATATCACTATTTAAGCTCTATCTGAGCCACATTAAAATTTTCATTCTCATTCTTCTACCTATTTTCAACTACACATTTTTCAATAAAATAATATTTTCCATCACGTCAATAATTTTTTCTTTCTTTTTCAACCACACATTCTTCATAAATCGGCTATTCCAAAATATATTTTTTCAAAATAATGTGGCTCAAACATACCCTTAAAATATATTCTTTTAAAATTATTTTTACGTCTTGATGAATCTAAATTGAAATTCTAATCCAATGAAAATTTAAAAAATTGGGTGCAAGTGGGTTGAGTCAAGACGTAAAAATAATTTTAAAAATGTTAATTTACACTCAATTTTTACATCAACCTTGAAGATAATTTTACCCAATCAAATGTATAACCACGGGCCTTTGACAAGGTCAGCAATCTGTAAAGGCATCCAGCAAATATCAACGTGTGGACCACAAGCACCATGAAATGTAGACAGCCCACCAATATCAAGGACTTTTTTGTCATTTTATTTTAGAAATTGAAATAATTGGTTCATGAAAAAAGAAAATCCCCCTCTTATGTTTTCAAAAATTCAACTACCAAGCAAGGAATATTACTGGTTCCTTTTATTGTTCTACTTGTAAAGTCGCCCACAACACTTAGCCCCTGTTTGTTTAGCTAAAAATCTAATTTTTTTTAAAAAAAATTTGATAAAAATTAATGAAATGTATAATCGAAAAATTGATAAATGTCGTGAATTTCGTAAAATATGTAGTTGAAAGTGAGTTCAAAGAAAAATGAATTTTAAAAAATAAAGACCAAATAGGGACTTAAAATAGATATCAGTCCTTCTAATATGTTGTGAAATTAGTCTTAGGGTCCGTTTGATTGATTTAAATTTCATGGAAAATGTTATATTCGAGGAATTCAATTTTTATTTTGACTGTTTGATACGAAAGTGGAAATGAAGTTCGAATTTCAAAGTACAACTACTTTAATCTTGTTTTTTATCAATTTCATGGAAAATGCATTCCTATATGGTACTTGAATTTTTATTTTTTAACTTACATTGAATTGAAAAGTATTTCCACCTTTATCAATCAAACGGAACATCGGCTCAAATAAGTTATCCAAAATTCTATGACATGTCACATGATTACGATGCGTCCTTCGTCTTACAATTTTGGACACCAATGCAACTTGAAAAACAAAAACTGACTTCATAAATTTAAACATGCGAAGATCAATGATGGCACATTTGGACAACTTCCATCTTTGAAAATTGATTTTATGATTATAACTATTGAAGTGCTATTTTCACTGTCCCTTTTTTCCCCCTTTGAATTAGATGAACTAGTCGATTTATTCAGTAGTCAAGAACTAGTCTACATGTACCAATTCATCTTAAAAACCGATCGATTTGCATTTAAAACTAGGTAATTTGTGATGACCTATCTAATTTTCAATCAAAACCAATCGATTGATGCCAAATTTTAGGGTCCTGTTTGATAGGTAAACGTGGAAAGGAATTTCAATTTCATGTTAGTTGGAAAATAAAAACCCACTAAATCTATAAAAATTCGTTTTTCCATGAAAACAAAGAAAATACAGATTTAAGTGGTTGTACCTTGGAATTTGATTTTCATTTCCACGTTACAATCAAACTGCCAAAGTGAAATTCATTTTTTTCGAATGTGATATTTTCCAAGAATTTCATGCTATCAAATAGTGCCTCATAGTCTTTATTTACTTTGGTTTCTTTTAACTACTATAGTTTGACTTCTATAAACTCTAGACAATTTACTTGTTACCTCTTTCAAGTCAATATTTGATTTAGCTCTTGTTTGACGAAGATTAAAATCAAAATTTTTAGTAGATTTTGATTAAAAATGATGAAATATGTGATTAATATTAATTATTGACTTTACTTTTGATAAAAATTTAAATTTTAATCTCCATACTTGACAAAAAATTGTTTATGAGAGAATCTTTGAGGACACATATCAATGCAGGGTAGGGTGCACTAACAAGAGTGACCCACACACACAATACAACCCTCCAATACAGATCTTTTCTTCTTCTTCAATTTTTTTTTTTTCCACATTTATTTATTTATTACCTTCATTTACACTCTACCCTAACTTCCCAAACAACCCATCGAAATAAATAAAATATCCTTTCCCCACTTTCAACAATACACAATTTCTACTCCACGCTTCTCTTCTTGCAGTCTTGACTCCGGCCTCCCTTAGCTCTTTTGGACTTTGCCTTAGCTTTTTCTCTTTAATCTTCAATGGAAGAATACATCTATCCCTTCAAATCTCAATCTAAAATTTGAATCTTTTTTCCATCCCAGCGTTTTTCTCACCTATATCATACTTCTTTATGTTTTTCTCCAAAAAGATTATGCCTTTTACTTCTTTACTCCAATCACTGTTGAAACCATTCATTTAAAATAGAAAAACCCATCTGATTATTGGGTTTTGATTGGTTTAATCAGATTTTCAAGAAATGGCAGTTCCTACCATTGATGCATGTGGCTGCTTTTTCTTGTAAATCTAGCTTCATTTGGTACGTTTCTCTCCGTGTTCTCATCTCTTAAGCTATAGAAACATATCAATTTCCTTGTGGGTTACAGTCAAGATTCAATCTTTTGTGACTTAACTGCATGTACAGTACCAAGAGATTTATATGTACGCGGATTGTCTATTCTCTCTATAAGTTTTCAAAATAAAGCGTTCTTTATTATGTTCATGAACTGGATTTATTTTTCTTTGGCGTACTGGGTTTTGTTGTTAGGAGGATTTGTTGGTTTAGTATATTATTTCTAGGATCTTGTGATGTTTTTTTGTTTGAGATTTACTTTGAGTAATTTATTTTACATATCAGTTTAATTTGAACTTTATTTTTGTTTCTTTAGCTGTCTTATGTCTTTCGTGGATTTTATAATTTTGTACAGATTTTCAGGTTTTAGATTTTGTTTGTGTTGATTTACTCTTCTGTGTAGTTCTTTGGATATGCAGGTTGAATTTTTATGTACTATATTCAGCCTTTTCCAGTTTACATCTGAAATCAATTGAGTAGCTCAAAGGATACTACTTAAAATCTTGCGATCTCTATGTTTACTTTCGCAGATTTATTTATTGGTTGTTTAAATTGCTGATTTGAAAAATGGGTAGAGGGAGAGGAAAAGGGAAGAAACAATCGGTTATTGCCGCTCGTGATGATACTGGAAGTGGTGAGGATGAGAAGATATTATCTAGGAGAAGAGGAAGGCCACAAAAACCCTTGAAGGATGAAATTGAGGAAGCAGATGAAGTCGAGAAGATAGAAAACGAAGAAAACGTTCAGGATTCAAATAGTCCCGTTTTGAATAGAAGTACAAAGAATCAAGTTGCTACAGAGAAAGGCCGGAAAAGGCTAAGGCCTTCTCAAGTCAAGGAAAATGCGGATTTACTGAAAGAGGAAAATGGCTTGGGAATCAAAACTAATGCTTCTGACTTGATCAAGTCCGTTGGGTTCAGACCAAGTAGAAGCAGGAGGAAAAATAAGCCTAGGCGGGCTGCTGAAGTCGGCGTTGAGTGCAAATGAAGTTTTCGTTTTGGAGATGAGTTTTCACCTTCTTAGGGGTTTCAGTATTTCCTTTATCTTTACTATGTCCTTTTTCTTTTTCGTGCTTTTCAAAAGTTATTGTTAACTAGTAACTACTATGTTTTCGCTATGACATGAGACTGAGGCAAGTTGATTGTGGTGGTTCTGGTATTAGATTTCGGAGCTACCTTCTCTATATGAGCATTTGTTACTTAGTACTTTCGCTCCCTTTACTCCATTATGTGCAGTATTTACGTGTCTGTTTTGGGCTTTAATCAGGTGAAAAGCATCTGTCTTTAATCTCCATTTCTTAGTCTTGTGAGATTTTCTAGTTAAGACAGATTATAGTTAAAATAGAATAGACAACATGACATTCTCCTTTCGATGATTAACACAGAAAATGAAAAAGTTCTATATTTGGGTAAAGTGTGAGCACTCATCATTCAATTATGCTTGATGTATTCTCTTGAGTTTAGACTGGACTGATTTTGATGCAATTGGTCTTTCTAGTATCTACTTGAAGTTTTTTGAGAAGGAAAGATGGAAACTTTATGCAGTCAGGTTTTGTTGTTTGTTCAATGAAATGCTGGTTTGTGATAGTCTATATTTGCTGTATGTTAGCTTGAGATTCAGGGAGACATTGTTACTCTTGTATTGAAGTGATTGATTACTGGTTCGGACAGTTCTCGATTCCCTCGCAGATGAAGTTAAGAAAGACTCTCTACGTCGTCACCTGAAGTGTTTATCCTAATAGACGTTCAATGCTATTCTGCAAGAAATGAAAAATATAAAGGAAAATGCCACATTAACATAAAAATTCTGATACGTTGTTTGACATAAGAGCGTGTGGCATTTTGTGATTAGATGGAAAATGTGACTTTGTTTTAAACAGTCCAATGATAGAATATTATGTGACATTATTTCAACCATTGTATTAACCATTATATCTCTCTAACATGATTGAAATATAAAAACGACTCTACCTGAAAAAATCTTGGGACAGGTCGGGGAGGAAGCCACTCACTTGATTATTGATTGTGGCATTTGATGTTCCTTGTCTGAGCAGCGACAACCTACAATAAGATGGCTTTGATGTTGAAATCTTTTACAGTTGAATAATTAAATACTCCTGCTACCAAATCTTGTGACATGAGCAAAAGTGGCCTAAGGTACATTTATAATCTTCTATCTACGAGTAAATTACGATAAAATGCACCACTAGTTTGCAACTTAGATATTGCAAATTTTGTCATTTGGTATAGTCCAAACTTGACATAATAGACAGGCCCGCTAAGAATCCAATAAACCCAAGAAAATGAGTTCATTTGCTGAGGCCCATTTTAGGAGGTTTACCAGGAGCCACTTAAGTGTTTACATATAAAAATTTCATGAGGAAATTACGTATAAATAGGTATTTATGTTTTCTAATTTAAAAATCAGGTGTGAGATTTATTTAATAAAAATTAGGTATTAATTGAATTATTAATAATATTCTATGAGCATGTTTGGCTAAGCTTAAAATCAAATTAAAATTGAAAATATAGTCGTTATTGAGTTTCACTTGTCTAATAAAAGTCAACAATAACGGCTAATTTTTCAATTTTATATCCGATTTTAATCTCACATATATCTTCTCTCTCTCTTTAGGTTTTAGATTTCTTTCTCTAGAATAATGCTGTTCATTCCTACTGGGGTAAGCCTCAATCTATATGGCAATTACATAACAATTAAATGATATACTCAATTAAATGAGTGGTGTGATTTTGTATTTAAATGAATCTATCATTTAATACCATATAATTGCCACATAGACTGGAGTTCAATTTTAGTGGGGATGAATAGCATTACTCTTCTCTCTATCCATTTCATTTCTTCTTCATCGCCGCTAGGTTCTTTCTTCATCAGTGCCGGCGACGATCTATCTCTCTATTTGCTCGATGGGGCTCTAAAATGCCCGCTGTGGCGGTGGTTGGATCTGAGCGCCGCTGCAGCGGCGAACTGTGCTTGCTCTCAGATCTTAGCCGTTCTTCGAGTGACCTTTTGTTTGGAAGTTCAGTAGTTGTTGTAGGTGGTAGTGGGATTTTGAGATGACAACGCTGCAGTTGTTTGATGTGGGTGTTGGGCAACGTTGTTGCAGTTGTTTGATGATGTAACTACAATTGTTCGGTATTTGTGTTGATGTGGTGGTGGTGGTGGTGGTGCTGGGGTTGGGGACTCTTTCATATCGATGATGTAAGATGGCTAGATGGTAGTGTGTTGGTGATCTTGGTACGATGATTTTGAGATTGTGGGGTGGTTAGGTGCGTGTGCTGTGGGTGCGGTGGTGGATCTGCCGGTGTGCAGTGGTGTTGTTTGACTGTTGTCAGGTGGTGGGGGTGGCTCTGGAGGTAGTGGTTCTATGTGTGTTGCAGTGTTGAGGTGATGGTCATAAATTATTTGGTTGATTGTGATCGCCAAATTTGTTAATTTGAGATTTATAAATAATAGGTGACCAATTATTTGAAATTGTGACCAATAAACTGGATACTATATGACAAATAAATAATATTTGACATAAAAATTTGAATTGTGACTTATAAAATTTGTCATTTGTGACTTAAAAATTTATCATTTTAGAAGTTTTTTCCTTGATTCATTTTTAAAATTGGATTGCTAAAATTGTTCATATAATGCTGCATAAAGTGAGTATCTTACAGATTTTAGGGGAGAATCACATTCCTGGATGATAAATCGTATAGTGGAATGAAGATGGCCGAGTCTTTTGGACCAAATTGTCAAAACTAGTTTAGATTCTTATGCTACATATTGTCAAGGCAGAGTATAAATTTTAATCTTCTCTACTTAAATATATTGACAACATCCCCAGCGTGTCGTCGAGAGAAGAGAAAAAGAACAAAAATACTGAGGAAAACATCATCATTTGTCATTCTCTAAATGTTAAATATTGTATTTGAATCATTGTTCTCTTTCTCCCTCAGGCAGTCCATTGTTTTTTCTGCTTTGTAGTTTGTCCCGGATAAAATAGAATTTTCACTTCATATTTCGGGAATGTAAAAGTTTGCCCGACTCATATGTGGACTTTATTCCCGATTTTCCCAACAAATCATCACGTACGAGATTCCTATTCATATCCAGTACATGCAATAATATGATCTTATCGGATGTAAATTGTAAGTATATACTTCATTTGCCAATAACCTTTAATTGAACTTTATTCCTCATTTGAATGTGTTCAGCATCCATTTCTTCATCGATTTTGAAAAGGGATCTATCATATCGCTCATGCATAGTGACACAAGTATCATACCACCATCCTTGAACATTTCCTTTGACCGAATTCACAATGCTCACGGTAGCAATGATGTTATCAATGGAATTTACTTTGCCTTCTTGAGTTGGTTGTTTGCGATGTCTACAATCCCGAACATAATGTCTAAGTTTGCCACATACATAACAAGAAACTTTGAATTTCTTCTTGTTCTTATTATTTTTGTAGGGATTTGTGGATTTCCTCTTTTTGGAATCCTCGTTGTATTTGTTTGGCTGATCCATGACATGAGTTTTGTAAGTGCTATCATGAGAATGTTCATTCCCATCTCGTGCATTCGACCCTTCCTCAATTAAAAAATGTTTTTGAATTTCTTCCAAAGAATAATCTAGGAAATTGTGAAGAATTTTCTTTCTATAGCCTTTCTATGAAAATGACAATTTCACGATGATAACATCAACTTGGAAGGTTTCGGGAAGATCAACATTCACGGCCTTTATTTTATTGACAATGATTTGCAACTCAAGTACTTGTCCAATAGAAGTAAGTTATCCAAAAATTTGAAATCAAAATACTTAAAAATAAGAATTTTTTTGGTACCTTCATCCTAGGCTTTGTATTTGGTTCCAATGATTTCCATATATCTTTTGCCGATGTGTGATTTGTGCAGAAATCATAGAGAAGATCGAAGAGAGCGTCCAGAATGTGTTCTCTACATATTAATTCATCTTCTTCTCTCTTTTTCCTTTTCGCCCTTGTTTCATCGGTGTCATTTGGGGTTAGTTCTGGCGATGGTCTCAAGTTTGAATTCAAAATGTAGAAATTCTTCAAGGTTGTGGGAAGAAATTTCAACTTGTAAAGTTCGAGCCGTCGAATCTCTCAAGCCTCATAAGGTCTTGATCCATCATCTTTATCGTAGCCATGGTTGTTTCGTTCTCATGTTGAATATCGCTTGAGATTGTTGAATAAAGTTGATGAAGAATAAGAAAACAAAACCAACAATAAGAAATCGCCAAAATTGAAGGTTTGAACACGATTATGAATCGCTATCCTCAAGCAATATTTGTCGCCACCGGGGAAAGTGCTTGAAGGTTTCAATGACAAATGGTTTGCAATAGTAAACAAAACTTAATCCAATTATGAATCAAGCAATCAAAAACTTGAAAAAGGAATTTCGAAGAACAATATAAGAAATTGGGTTTGATCTTTGATTTTGGATGTGATGAATGAATTTGATATTTTTTATATTTTTTCAATCATGAAAATCATTCATATATAGAGAATTACAATCACCATGATGAAATGTGCAAAAACCAATCCAAAAGGGTGTAAAACTCTTCAAAATGACACCAAAATGCAAAACCCCAACGGGTAAAATTTTGTACTGGTCATGAGAACAAATGGGCACGTGCATGTGTAGAGAATACAATTACGTGACACCTAATAAATGAATAGGAATGACAAAAAAACTCAATACCCGCGGGGCTCCGCCCCGAATGGGGTGGAGATTAATCGCTTAATCGAGCATTCGGGTAGAGGACGGGCGGATAACTTTGCCCCGGGGCGGGTACGGGGTAATGCGTACCCCCACACAGTTAATTTTTTTTTATTTTTTAGAATTCAATACTTTAAATGGAAAACTTTACGAAATTTCATTAGTTCTAATAAAAAATGGCAACGAAATTTATCTAAAAAATACGACAAACAATAAAAGTCTTAGTTTACCAAATAT